GCTCGGCAGGCCAAATGAATAATTTTTGACTTCACTAACTTCCTTACTGACCCTCTTGCACCATTTCCCAGTGCAGAAACGCCACAAAGGGGGATGATGGAAGCCTCCACCCCTTCTTTCCCCTCCTCCCTCCATCCCACCCACCGGCCTCGCCCCTCTTCCTGCTGGTTTAAGGATGCAGGGGCTCATCAGTATCTCTGGACCACCTCTCTCACACACACACACACACACACACCTCTGCATCACTTTGCACAAAAGCCTGAAATTGCTTCCAGCTGGGAGTGAAGCCGGTCCCGGCGGACTGAAGGCAAACAAAGCGCATTTTACGCGCACAGTGGCGCACATTTCCCCGCTGAGTCTGCACTGCGGGGCAGCTCGGGACCCCCCCGCCCCCTAAAAAAAAAAAAAGACCTGCAGCTCTCTGACACAAACTCTCTGCAGACCCGAAACAACCGCACCCCCCTCCGTCCCTACTTTACACCAGCTGTACTGACGATGATGATGAAGGTGGTGGTGCCCCAGTCCTCCCCTGTGCATCCTCAGCGCGCAACAACCCGAACAACGAAACCCCGAGAGGAGCCGTGAGAGGAGCGGGAGCAGAACCAGGAGAGGACAGGAGAGCAGGGCCGCGGGACTCACCAGTCGGTGTCCGAGGTCTCGTCGATGACGTCCTGGTAGGCGGTGAGCAGGGCCAGCCGGTTCTTGCCGAGATTCACAGCCATGTTTCCGTCCCTGCAAGCATCCAGCCGCTGCTGATGGAGAGAGACTCGGAGTGAGACTACAGGAGGACGACAGCAGCAGCAGGAGGAGGAGGAGGCGCTGACTGGTGGAAACAAAGAGAGGAGCGCGGTGTCCGCGGGGTCCTAGCGCCGGAAGGTCTGCCGGTCAGCTGTCCGATGGGTCCTAGTGCCGACCTTTCAACTCCTGCAGCTGCACAGAAACAGTTAAAGTTTAAATTTGTCCGAAAGGAGGAAGATTTGTGTGAATGTGCGTGTCACCGTGGTATTGCTGTTACTGTTTAACATGCGCTGGACTCAGATCGTCTTACAGCACTTACAAAAAACAAGGAGCTCCAGCAAAGAGGAAATATCAGGTAAAGAAGGTCAATAAGTACGAAACCAGGTGTGAATGTCAAACTTGCTGTTTTTCTGAAGGTTTGCTTGAGAACAATGCTGTGCTTTCTGCAGTGTCACTCAGTGTTTTAATTTGGTGAACCAAAGACAATCTCCCACTGATGTGGATAATAAAGTTTTTTTCTATTCTGTTCTAATCTACTCTGGTCTTTCCCTGTGACATCACACAGGTCCAGGAGAACAAAAAAAACTATGTGAAGTGAAGCTGCTGGACTTACAGGAGTTTCTGATCTCATTATGTGAAGCATTTCCAGCTGGAACAGCACCAGGTGAGAGTGACCTGTGATGTAAGCTTTTCTGTGGGCGGGGCTTTAACTGGTAAGTGGAGGGTTCCTGAGCACCCAGCATGCCTCACTCACAACAGGACCTTTCTACATCTAAGTGCTTTTGGTCTAAGATCCACACTGATGAACACATCAGGATGTTTGGCACGCAGACTGGAGCAGCCGGGAATTGAACCACCAACCTTCTCATTAGCTGATGACCTGCAGAGTGATGAGGAGTCTGTAATCTTCCTCAGAGTAACACATGAAACATTATGTGCCTACTTTGTGTTTTCTGTAAGTTTCTCTGATCTGAGTTTGGCGAAATAATCAGGTGGAAGCAGGTAAAACCTGCAGTTCCTCTGGTGGCCACCAGAGGCTCCTGTCGTAGACTTTCACATAAAAATGTTGAACTTTACAGCAGAAATAAGCACGTTTACAGAAACAGTTTGGGTCTCTGTGGATCATTTCCTCGTTTATAATTGCAGCACGGCAGGTGATTGTTTTTAAAACGCTTCTTTTTTAACTTGATTGAGGCTTCAGGTTTGGCGTGTAGCTCCTCTGGTTAGAGCTGCAGCTGCTAGCCTCGGCCTTGGCTGTCTGGAGTCACTGAACTCGACCTGCGGTGCGAGTTTGTGCTGCGTCCTTGAAGTCTGTCCTCTAAGTTTGGGTGAATTAAAGTCTAAGAGTTTGTTAGCCTGTTATTTAGCTCTCAATATTAGAGGGTGCAGTGTCAGTGTGACACATTAGCTTAAAAACCAGTCTTGCTAGGAGTAGCTGATCACTTCCACCCTCTTGTCCAAATATGGTCACTTCCAGCTCCAAACAAACCAAGATGGCTGCACTTAGACTTCAAACTGTGAGTGCAGCAACCAAAGGTGGCCTCCTCCTCCTCTTAGCATTCAGGGCTTCTTCTTTGACAATCTGTGGATTAAAAACCTTTTGAGGACTGTAATGGGGGCATCAACCACTTCAGAAGGAGCCTCCATCAGTCGGGTGGTGCATCAGTGAAGTCGTCTGGAGGCACGTGGGTCCCATGTTTTCTTAATAACAAGTCTCTCATGAAAACCACTAAGTGGCAGAGCTGCCCAGTAAGTTTGCCTGTTGCTATGGATTCCAGCATGGCGGTCCTGTTTTAAAAAGCAGATCAGATGATGAGCGCTGAGGAGCAGCTGGAACAGCTGACCTCTGTCAGCCTCTGTGGGCTGATTTGTTTGTGAGGTCAGCAGGACCTGATGACACCGCCGCCTCCTCGGACCAATCCCTGACTCAGACCAATCCCTGACTCAGACCAATCCCTGACTCAGACCGTCTCCAGTAGTGATGGGACGGTCGCGAACGAAGTGGCTCTTAGAGCCGACTCTTTCAAGTGAATGATGCCAGATTTTTTTTTTTCTTTCTCTCACTTTTTTCGCTTCACGCAGTTACAGTTGCATTTTATTGTGTTGTGGTTTGCAGTGTTTTGTGTTGTTTCCTTTTTAAATTTGTTTAAAAG